ACCAGCACTCAGGTGATGGCTGAAGATATGACAGTAGATGCAACAATCCAGGAAGAAAATGTTTACCAAGAAGTGGAGAGGTATGAAACCTTGATTAAAAATCCTGAAAAGATAGACGGATGGAGGAAGTTACAAAAGAGACAAAGTAGAAGTCAGTGAGATTAACCCATAGGTTCATCAAGAAGTGAACATATTTCTCATTGGACTATAAAAGAGAAGTAAAAAATTAAGAAGGATAGTGCATTCAACAATAGTAAATATTACCAAAAGGTTACTGAGTATTAGGACTAATAAGAAGCCCCTAAATCTAGCTATCAGTAGCTCTATGACCTTTAAGATCGACAGAAATGGGTTAGTAAGATAATTAAAAGATCACTTTCTTAATATGTTTTAAGCATCTAGGGTTTATATTCAACACTTCCATTAATGTATGGTGGCATCTGATTAATTTTAATATGCTAGTTCTATTTGGAAGAACACTAAGCTTTTCCAAGCTAAACAGGAATAATAGCTGTTATAAAATACCAACATTAAAAGACTGCCATTGTTTTTTTTTATTCAGTTGGCATAACAATGAATTATTCTAAATTAAACTTATGGGATGCAACAAAAGCAGTTCTAAGAGGGAAGTTCATAGTGATAAAAGCCTACCTCAAGAAACAAGAAAAGTCTCAAGCCAGCCCTGATGGCCTAACAGTTAGTTTGGTGTGCTCCACTTTGGCGGCCCGAGTTTGGTTCCCAGGCACGGAACCACACCACTGATCTGTCAGTAGCCATGATGTGGCAGAGGCTCACACAGAAGAACCAGAAGAACTTACAACTATATACAACTATGTACTGAGGCTTTGAGGGGGAAAAAGGAATTTAAAAAAAAAGAGGAAGATTGGCAGCAGGTTTACCTTAGGGCAAATCTTCCCCTACAAAAAATAATAATAATAATAATAAATTTAAAAAAAGAAACAAGAAAAGTCTCAAATAAACAGCATAACTTTACACCCTCAAGGAACTAGAAAAAGAAGAATAAATGAAGCCCAAATTTAGCAGAAGGAAGGAAACAGCAAAGATTAGAGCAGAAATAAAAGAAACAGAGACTAAAAAGACAATAGAAAAGATCGATGAAACTAGGAATTGGTTCTTTGAAAAGATAACCCAAAGTGACATACCTTTAGCTAGCGTCCCCCCCAAAAAAAGAGAAAACTCAAATAAATAAAATCAGAAATTAAAGAGAAGACCTTAACAACTGATACCATATAAACACAAAGGATCATAAGAGACTACCATGAACAATTATATGCCAACAAACTGGATAACCCAGAAGAAATAGATAAATTCCTAGAAAAATACAACTTATCAAGATTAAATCATGAAGAGAGAGAAAATCTGAACAGACTGATTACTAGTAAGGAGATTGAATCAATAATCCAAAACATCCCAACAAACAAAAGACCAGGACCAGACAGCTTCACAGGTGAATTCCAACAAATATTCAAAGAAGAATACCACTCTTTCTCAAACTCTTCCAAAAATGGAAGACTCATTACCCTGATACCAAAACCAGAAAAGGACACCAAAAGAAAAGAAAATTACAGGCCAATATGCCTGATGAACACAGATGCAAAAATCCTCAACAAACCAAATTAGCAAACCAAATTCAACATATATTAAAAGAATTATACACCACAATCAAGTGAGATTTATTCCAGGGGAGCAAGGATGGTTTGACATTTGCAAATAAGTCAATGTGATACATGACATTAACAAAATGAATGATAAAAATCATATGATCACCTCAATAGATGCAGAAAAAGCATTTGACAAAATTCAACATCCATTTATGATAAAAACTCTCAACAAAGGGGGTATAGAGGAAACATTCCTCAACATAATAAACTCCACATATACAAGCTCCATAGCTAACATCATACTCAACAGTGAAAATCTAAATGCTTTTCCTCTAAGATCAGGAACAAGACAAGGATGCCCTCTTGCCACTTTTATTTAACATAGTATTGGAAGTCCTAGCCAGAGCAATTAGACAAGAAAAAGAAATAAAAGGCATCCAAACTGGAAAGGAAGAAGTCAAACTGTCACTATTTGTGGATGACATGATTCTATATATTAAAAAGCCTAAAGAATCTACCAAAAAACTATTGGAAATAATCAATTCAGCAAAGTTGCAGAATACAGAATCAATATACAAAAATCAGTTGTGTTTCTATACACTAATAACGAGCTATCAGAAAGAGAAATTAAGAAAACAATCTCATTTAAAACTTCATGACAAAGAATAAAACACCAAGGGATAAATTTAACCTAGGAGTTGAAAGCCCTGTTTCCTGAAAACTATAAGACACTGATGAAAGAAACTGAAGACACAAATAAACAGAAAAGTAATCCATGTTCATGGACAGGAAGAATTAATATTATTAAAATATCCATACTACCCAAAGCAATCTACAGATTTAGTGCAATCCCTATCAAAATTCCAATGGCATTCTTTACAGAAATAGAACAAACAATCCTAAATTTGTATGGAACCACAAAAGACTCTGAAGAGCCAAAGCAATCTTGAGAAAAAAGAATAAAGCTGGAGGCATCATACTCCCTGATTTCAAGCCAGATTACACAGTTATACTAATCAAAATAGTATGGTATTGGGATAAAAAGAGACACATACATGAACGGAAGAGAACAGACAGCCCAGAAATAAACCCAAGCATATAGGTCAATTAATTTACAACAAAGGAGCCAAGAATACACAATGGGGCAAGGACCGTCTCTTCAATAAATGCTGTTGGGAAAACTGGACAGCCACACACAAAAGAATGAAACTGGACCACTATCTTACACCATACACAAAAATTAACTCAAAATGGATTTAAAAACCAGAAGACCTGAAACCAGAAAACTCCTAGAAGAAAATACAGGCATTAAGCTCCTTGACATCAGTCTTGGCAATGGTTTTTTGAATCTGACACCAAAAGCAAAGAGAACAAAAGCAAAAACAAACAAGTGGAACTACATCAAACTAAAGAGCTTCTGCACAGCAAAAGAACCATCCACCACATGAAAAGGCAACCTACAGAATGGGAGAAAATATCTGCAAATCATATATCTGATAAGGGATTAATATATAAAAAACTCATACAACTCAATAGCAAAAAAACAAAGAATCTGATCAAAAAATAGGCAGATATGAACAGACATTTTTCCAAAGAAGACATACAGATGGCCTTCAGGTGCATGAAAAGATGCTCAACATCACAAATCAAAACCATGAGATATTACCTCACACCTATTAGAATGACTATTATCAAAAAGAGAAGAGATAAGTGTTGACAAGGATGTGGAGAAAAGGGAACCCTTGTGCACTATTGGTGGGAATGTAAATTGGTGCAGCCACTATGGAAAACAGTTTGGAGGTTCCTCAAAAAATTAAAAATAGAACTACCATATGATCCAGCTATTCCACTCCTGGGTATTTATCTGAAGAAAACAAAAACACTAACTCAAAAAGATACGTGTACCTCCATGTTCACTGTAGTATTATTTACAGTAGCCAAGATATGGAAACAACCTAAGTGTCTATCAATGGATGAATGGATAAGAAAATGTGGATGGATGTGTGTGTGTGTGTTTGTGTCTAATATATTACACACACCAAAAAAAATGAAATATTATTCAGCCATAAAAAAGAATGAAATCTTGCCATTTACAAGAACACAGATGGACATCAAAGGGCATTATGCTAAGTGAAATAAGTCAGAGAAGGACAAATACTGTATGATCTCTCTTATACGTGGAATCTAAAACAATGAAACGAAGCTCATAGAAACAGAGAACAGATTTGTGGTTGCCAGAGGAGGGGTAGAGGGGGTAGGGAATGAGAGAAGAGAGTGAAGGGGGTATTAAATATTAAAACTAACTAAATAAATAAAATTAAAAGTATGCTACCAAAAAAAGGTTAATTTTATGATACCATACAGAGTTCATGAAACTAAGGCATAATTGGCAAACATGTAACTTTTCTTCTACGCCTTCTATATATCCTGCTCATTCATTAAATCAACAATAATACACTGACATCCTCAACTATGTTCCATTACTGTGCAAAGTATTACAATTTCAAATTTTTGAGACTTTCTCCCTTGATCCCCAAGCTCTAGTTCCTTCAATCTTATTCCCTGAAGCAAACTGCTGTGCTGCACTTCCAGAAGCCCCATTCAGCTGATGACATATTATTCCCCCAGGTAGATTATCAACTGACATAAGAACATACCTGGAATCGCTCTGCTGCTTTGGCCCCTTTGCAGGGCAGGCTATAATCAATGACGAGTTAGCTCAGAACAATTCTGAAGGGCAGTCCCAGCTTCAGAGCTCCCAAAAGAATGGCTGAGGGCTTGTGGTAACTGCACCACAGCCTAACTTCTCCCTCGGCACAGCGCTGCTTTCTTTGCTTACCACCCCTTACCCCCAGGTATTGATCCCAAGAACACTCTCAAACAAATTTCCTGCCCATGAATCTCCTTCTCAAAGTCTGCTTCTCAGGGAACTCAGCCTATAACACCCACACAACCAAACATATTCTCCTCAGTTGTGCTCCATGATTGAAACTTACTCCATCCCTCAGCTGAGCATCCCACTAATTGGTCACCTTTGCAGCCAACTCATCAAAAGAGCATCTCCTCAACACACATCATCTCGCCAAAATGTTGGGGAAAACAGTGATATGACAGTACTTGCCAGTAACATGTTTATGATTTAAGATTATTGATTAAGCAAGAAAGCTATATATTTGGTAAATTTACAGCATCATATGAAAGCAAAGAATTTCTAGCAAAAGGGAGGGAGGAAGAAAGAAAACTATTTGGAAACCCAAAGACCTTTCTCTTGACTTAAAGCAGAGCATTATCTATTATAGCAAAGTGTGAAAAATGAGTACATGCATAAAAATTCATGTTAAAACTGGAGTATCAATTAGAGAACAGAAAATAACAAAATGAAGTATAAAAGGCATCCAAGTGGCCTTTATTTATTTAATTTTTCCTTCAACTTATAAGTGCTATCACAATTCTAAAGAGATTGGACTTGGGGGAAATTTTTTATCAAGATAGAGATCTAAGAACAGAAGGATAATCATGTGCTACCTTACAGTTTCTTGTAAAAATAATGATAACATGAAAAATTAGTAGAAAATGAAAACCTGAAAAGTTATCTGAAATCTGAAAATGTTAACCAATTTCCCCTGTATCTTAGTTTTGATCACTTTTGCACATTTGAGTGAAGAGAGTATTTAATTTTTCTCTTTTCATTAATAATGTAGTATGTCCTTCAGAGCTTGGCGTAGTCTTTCAGAATCTTCTGAAGCTTCTGGCTCACCATGATGTTCCCTTTGGCCTTCAGTTTGCCACTAAAGAATGCCTGGAAAGGACAGAGAGAAAAAGAGTACCTTCATCATGTTACATTTTATTTCTTTCTTTTAAAAGATCATTGTTCAGACTAAACACAATTGAGTTGTTAATTCTGGACAACAAAGGCAACTTTTATCTAGCAATGATAGTTTAATGATTACAGATAGCACCCATATTTTTAGATATCTAAGAAAAAATAAATGTTTCTTGTGTAGTTTAGAAAACCACAGAATAATTTATCTGCACTGACAGATCTGGGAGTTATGCTTCAACCTATGCTTCTGGCTTCAGTCTACGTTCTTAAACATAAATTTGAGACCATATGAATAAAAAGCCTTTACTGTATTCCTAAGAATAAAAATATTCAGAGGGGAAGAGGTAGGGGGTAGGGTAAAGGGGCGCATGCGTATGGTGACAGATGGCAACCGGACATCTGGTGGTGAACACAACACAGTCTATACAAAAGCTGAAATATAATGTTGTACATCTGAAATTTATATACTGTTATAAACCAATGTGACCTCAATAAAAAAAAATTTAAAAATTCAATTCAGAACTTTTGAAAGCAGATCAAAAATATTTATTACATCTTCATGAAATAGAAAGCCATATAATGCCAAAATAAGATAATATAACAAAGTCGTGAATAGATCCTAGGCTGTAGCATCGGAATGCCTGGGTTAAAATCTAAGGTCTGTCACTAACTAGCAAAGTGAGCTTCGGCAAATTAGTTAACCTCTCTGAGCTCCCACCTCCTCATCTATAATGGGCATGACAACAGTACCTAAAAAAGACAGCTTTGTTGTGTGAGTTAAATGAAATGGTGTGTAAAGTGCTTAGCTTAGCGCTTGACATGTTGCATATTAAGCTCATCATCACTAAGCACAAGGCTGGCAGGTTAAAACACTAAGAGCTTCCGTACTACCTCCGCATCTGACCTGACAACAGAAACTTGTGCAAGTTGCTTAAATTCTCCCTCAGTGTCAAGTTCCCTATCAGTAAAATAAAAATAGTAAATCACAGATCAGAGTTTTTACAGCTTATTGAGAAAATAACATGGAATATCAAGTGAAAAAGAAGTCCCTAGATTTTTAGCTAGATTGAAAAGTTAGTAATATCCATGTATACTTAACATTACAAAGCAGCCCTACAGATACTCTCACTTGAGAAGCACAGTCATCGACTTGAAGTGGCCATGTCAGCAGTTCTCATCCCAGTTGACAGATGAGAAAACTGAAGTTCAGGGAGCGTAAATAACCTGCTCAAGGCCACAGAGCCAGCAGGAAGGAGGGCCAGGACCTGAACTCGGTTGATCTTTGCTCAACATCATCTCCTGCTTATCAACTAGCAGCAACTTGATCTCAAAAGTAAATTCTCACCAACTTGACGAAAAGCAAAAACTACTTAAACTTTTCATCCCAGAAATAATAAGGGAGAACGCATTCAATCAGGATCAAGTGCCAGGTATTCAAACTGGAGATGGGAATTTCAAAACGAAGACTGCTTTCCCTGTACAGTTACAAAAACAATGGTCTGTGACTCCTGCAAAGAGGGCAGTACTTAGACTTGCTTGCCAGGGACTAAAGGCTGAGAAGAATTTACAACCTAAAATACGAACACCTAATTCCTTGAAGTAAATACACCAATATTTGATGGCTGTTATTGAGTGGAAGGATTTTGTACATAAGTCTTTGTTCCTATCTATTTTCTTAGGATGGATTCTTAGAAGAAGAATGACTAAATCATGACATTTCTTAAATAAGGTTCCTGACTATACTTTCATATTGCCACAATTTCCAAACTGTGCACCATGGCGCACCAGAGCATCACAGCAAACTCCCAGGGATACTGTGGAATATTTAAAATTTTCCAGGAAAATCCAGTAACATTGGTAAAACACAACATGAAAAACTACTATTGTTTGGGCCTAACTACTTACTTAACAGGACCTTTAGGTATTTCTTTTGGTCTAGGAGTGCCATGCAGAAAGTGGTGAGACCCTAAGTTGCTATAAAGGAAGAAAGCCAGCGAACCTCTGCCACAATGCTTTCCAGAAAGACTACACCAAACTGATATTCCTTCCAGCTATGTGTGAATTCTCTTATCCTGACCTTAACAATGCTATTTTCTTAATCTTTGAAAATCTGAGGGAAAAATGACATGCTTTAATTTGCATTTTTTGGATCCTGAGAAAAATTAATAGTTTTTCTCATGTATGTTATTCATTTCCATTTTTTTCATTAATTATTGGTTCATACCTTTCGCCCATTTTTTATATTGAGATCTACTGCTTTCTAGACTTTTTTATAGGTTACTGATACCAACATAGTGTGTATCATTTTCTTTCCCCCAGGCTTATGGGAATATCTTATGGAGTCTGACATGCAGAAGTTCTTAATTTCTAGATAGCCTAAACTACTGCTATTGAGCTTATGTTCCTTATTTCTATCCTTGCTTCAATCTACTCAAGTATTAGATTGGCAAGATTCTAGGCTAGGAAATATATCTCTCTCCCTGTGCTCATGAGTAACATTATAGAAAGGGAGTCAAAAAATAAAACGTAAACAAGTAAAGCCTGTTATAAATGCTATGAAGGAGAGAATAGGATGCTATTAGAGAGTCTAACAGGAAGGAACTACTTTGGATGAAATGAAGCTAGCCATGCAAAAAGTTGAAGGTAGAAATTTCAAAAACGTCAAATGCACAGACAGCAAAGGGGTGAAAGCTGATGGGAAGGAACTGAGAGGAAAAACAATGTTAGTGGAATTAGCATAATAAGTGATGAGGCAGGGCCGGCCGGTGACGCAGCAGTTAAGTTCGCACGTTCTGCTTTGGCCGCCTGCGGTTGACTGGTTCGGATCCCGGGTGAGGACATGGCACTGCTTGGCAAGCCACTGTAGGCGTCCCACAGATAAAGTAGAGGAAGATGGGCACAGATGTTAGCTCAGAGCCAGTCTTCCTCAGCAAAAAAAGGAGGATTGGGGGACCGGCCCCGTGGCTGAGTGGTTAAGTTTGTGCACTCCGCTGCAGGTGGCCCAGTGTTTCGTCAGTTCGAATCCTGGGCACGGACATGGCACCGCTCATCGAGCCACGCTGAGGCGGCGTCCCACGTGCCACAACTAGAAGGACCAACAACTAAGAATATACAACTATGTACCAGGGGGCTTTGGGGAGAAAAAGGAAAAAAATAAAATTTAAAAAAAAAAGGAGGATCGGCAGCAGTTAGCTCAGGGCTAATCTTCCTCAAAAAACAAAAAAAAACACAACTAAGTGATGAGGCAGGCAGTGTGGGATGAAGCTGAAAAGATGAGCAAGGAAAACATCATATGTAACATAACAACAGGTAGTTTGGATTTTATCCAAGTGCAAAAGGAAATCTTGGGAGTTTTTTATCAGGTGGAAAGAACTATAATCTGATCTACATTTTTAAAGTACTACCCTGGCTCCTGTGTGGAGAACAGATTGGTGGAGAGGTAAGACTGGAAGCAGCAAGATCAGTCAGGAAGCTACTGTAAGCCAAGTGAGAGGTGACAGAGGCTTGGATCAGGGTGCTATCCTTAGTGAGGAAGATGAAGTCAAAATATATTTTGGAGAAAAATCAGGCAGGATTAAGGATAGAAAGGACACACAGAGGTACAGAAGGAAACCAAGATGATGCTTACATTACTGAGCATATTAATTTGGGTAGACAGATGACAGCGCCATTTCCTGAAAACTGCTTATAACACTACGAAACTCAGAGAGGACGACCAAGCGAGACATTTAAATTTGTGAATTGTCAACATATAGATGGCTTTAAATACCATGGGATGGATGAACTCATTTAAGGAGAGTGTTATTTAGAGAAGCTCCCTGAAATGAGCCCTGAAAAACACCAAATTTAATGGTTGAGGGGAGAAGAAGACACCAAAGGAAATTAGGAATAGCCAAAGGTGGAGAAAGCGAAAAACAGGAAAACACAGAATCATAAAGCCAAGGGATGAAATTATTTTAAGCAGTTGGTGGTTGACTGACTTGAACATGACTGAAAGGTTGAGTAAGATGCAGATAGAGAAATAGTCATTGGATTTAGCAAAACAGAACCTTGACAAAAATGCTATCAGTGGACTAACAGACGTGGATGGAATAATAGACGTGGAAGTCAGATAAGAGAAGATAGAAGAGCAAAGTTAAGACAGAATGTTTAAACCGGTGCTGCCCAACAAAGTAGCCACTAGCGTATGTGGCTGCTGAGTACCTGAAATATGGTTAGTCTTGGCAGAGATGCACTGGATTTTAAAGATTGAGTATAAGAAAAAGGATATAAAATATCCCACTAATATTTTTAACATTGATTACATGCTGAAATATTTGACTGTATTGGGTTAAATACATGAAATTAAAATTAATTTCATTTGTTTCTTTTTAACTTTGTTTAATGTGTCTACTAGAAAAATTTTAATTATATATGTAGCTCACATTACATAACTATTGGACAGTGCTGGTTTAGACAATTCTTTTGTGAAAAGAATCACAGACATGCTGGATTGAAATCTGATATCAAGAGAAGGCATTTAGAGGCTGGCCCAGTGGCATAGTGGTTAAGTTCATGCACTCCACTTCTGCGGCTCAGGGTTTGCAGGTTCAGATCCCAGGTGCAGACCTACACACTGCAAATCAAGTCATGCTCTGGTGGCATCCAACATACAAAATAGAAGAAGATTGACACAAATGTTAGCTCAGTGACAATCTTCCTCAAGCAAAAGGAGGAAGACTGGCAACAGATGTTAGCTCAGGGCCAATCTTCTTCACCAAAAAAAAAAAAAAAAAAAAGAACAGGAAGACATTTGCTTTAGAATCAAGATATTAGCCTGCCTGTATGCTGTGTGAGAATTATGTAGTGGAATGGGAGAGATTGATTCAGAAAAGAGAGAAAAGGGGAAGCAGCAATGATCTTGAGCAGATATCTGGAAGAGAATTGAAGGGACTAGTCTTTGACAGGAAGAGAAAAAATTCCTTTAATATAGTATATGGGAAGAGAAAAAGATGGATGCAGATGCTTATAGAATAGACCTGATGATAGGAGGGTAAAAGTGTTCATCTAAAAGCCTTTTGTTTTCAAGGAAACACGAAGGATGTTTGAAAGGGAGGTGGGGGTGTGTGAGAGTTTAGAGAAGACAAGTACGAAACAGTCAACAGGAATGGAAGTTTACTGGAAAATCATAATAAGATTGCTAGACAGTGCTTAGAGACTCTTTGAGGCTTGTGATCAAAAACTTAAAGGGAAGCCAATCTGTCTAGTTGGATGGCTTTTTTCCTGCCACGTTCATCTATTCAGGTACAGATACAAAAATGGCAGGGAATGGGGTTAAAACAGGGTGGAGTTTTCCAGGCAAGTAAGATGAGAGCGATACAAGGGAGTTGAGTATTTTCAAGGGAGATATTATGCAGATGAACCATGGAATCTAAGGTGAACAAGGAGAGAAGACAAAACAGAAGGGACCTGATGGATAGAAAGTGGTGGTGTCAACAAACTGAAGCCCTCAGCTCTAGTAATAGGAATAACATAACAGGTTAATGGAACTGTAGGTGATGGTATTGAAAAATAGAGATGTTTTGAAATAGATGTTGAAGTTGTACATTTTATGCTGCTAATAAGGACTAAAGCTGATATACAATAGAGTAAAAGATAATTAGAAGTGAGATCAATGAACGAAGAGAAGTCACTTTTATGAATCTTGAAGTAAGCCACCAAGGTTGACAAGAACTGGTGGCAGAGAAAGACTGTCCACTAGCAGACAAGGTCTTTGATAACTGAAGAAGAGTGATGACAGCACCGCGGTGGAGAAGGTAATAAAGCCAAATAAGTCTAGAAAATCCCTGATATTCAGTGTCTCTAAGAATTATCATTAAGAACAATAAATATCCAAGTTTTCATCAAGTTTTTGCTTTGCTTTTATTTTCCACATTTAATTCTATCCCATGTGCTATGATTTAGGTATACGGAATGACAGAAAGCACTACCACTTCCTACGCAACTCCCCAGTACCATTCACTGAATAACCCATTCATCCCCAAAAGGCCTGGTATTCCAAGCAATTATATAAATGTTTCCCTAATCCTACATTTAATCTTTATATACATGCATCTCAAATATAACATATCTAAAAAAGAACTCTTAATTACCCATTCTCTGCCCCAAAGTCAGCTTTCCACTTTAAAACTCAGATGCTGCCATTCCACAGCTCAGCGGCTTCCCACCACACAAGAGCTAAACTCCTCGGCAAGACCTACCAGGTCCTGTGGAATCTGGCCCTTGCCTACTTCTCCCATCTCACCTCCTACCACTCTCCTCCCTGTTCGTTTTACTAGCTCTACTGGCCTCCTCACAGTTAGAAAACCACAATAAGCCTCCAGCCTTTGCACTAGTTGTTTCCTTAGGCTCAAGGCTCATTCCCTCACTTCGTTTAGGTCTCTATCAGGCCTTTTCAGACAACTCTATCTAAAATAGTGCCTTTATCCCGTCACATTCTACTCTAGGGGTTGGCAAACTACTCCCTGTGGACCAAAACTAGTCTGCTGCCTGTTTTTGTAAATAAAGTTTTACTGGGACACAGCCCCATCCACGGGGTTTACATATATTCTACAGCTACTTTAACTCTTTAACAACAATGAAAGTGAGCAGGTGAAACAGAGAACCCTGGGCCAGCAAAGCCCAAAATATTTATTATGTGACCCTTCCAACCACTGCTCTAACCCATTACTCTAACTTGCTTTTCTTCATACCTGAAAGAAAAGTTGAATTCTATTTCTTTTCCATTCCCCTCTAGAAGTAAACTCCACACAGTAGGGGCACTGTCTTGTTCAGCCACACTTTGAATCCCAGTAACAGTAGGTACTAAATAAATTCCCGGGAAGGAACTAGGTGAGGACTCGGTGCCAAGCACTACACTAAGCTCTTCATGTATATTACTGGATTTAGTTATCATAACAATCCTTTGAGATTACTGCAATTATTATATTCATTTTACTAATGAGAAAATTGAAGTTTAGAGAGTAAGTGGCAGGGCTAAGATTCAAACTCAGATTTAACTGATGCCAAAGAACATATTTTTAACCACTATACTACTTTACAATTCTTTTTAAATAAATCTTTCTAGCCAGGAAAATTGAACATTGTCTTATTTATTCAAATTGTTTTGTGTCTCGTAAAGTTGTATAGTTTTCATCACATAAGCACTGTGCTTTTCTTGTTAGCGTGGTCATTGGTATTTTGTAGCCTGGGTTGTGATTATCAACAAATTTATTTCAATTATATCTTCTACTTGGTTTTTGCTTCTCTGTGAAAGCTATTTTTTAATAATTATTGTGCATTGAACCACTTGTTTGAACTCCTTTATTCTAAGAATCAATAAGTTGATTCTCTTGGGATTTCTAGCTACCAAATCATGATTTGAAAACAATAAACTTTTCTCCTCCATTCTAATTGCTAAATCAGTTACTTTAATTTTGTGTGCTTGTGGATTGGCTAAAGGCTTCAGAAGATTAACTCATAATGGTCAGAGAGTCTCTTGTCTTAATCATGATTTTCCAGTGACATGCCTCTAAATGTTCCACTTCCAATAAGACACTGACTGCTATGTTCTATCCTTCTATTTCCAGTTTTCAATAACAGTAAAGACTAGTTCTTAATCTTATATATCAGGAACAAATATCTTATTTTATAAAATATCTACTAATATCATACGGTTTTTCACCTCTGAACTAATGGCAATAATACATTAAAAGATCTAAATGTGGGTTTTATACTGTTTACAGACTAAAGAAGAATTTCACCCAAAAATTCAGTTTTAAAAAGTGTTCAGTTCAAACTCCATTAGAAAAATATATGATCTGTCAACTCAGATATTGCTATCAACTGTCTTCTTCAGAGTTGTAAGGGATCTATCTTAGAATTTGGGAGTCAGCTAAATACTTCAATTGTCAACAGGAAGCAATAATGATGAAGAAATGAACATTTTAAGAGTGTTACCTTCTGAGGATCAAGCTTGCCCTGGACTACCTCCATGAAATGCTCATCTGAAAGTGTCAAGGTTGTGTCAGCAGAGCCTCTTGCAGGGCCTTGATACACTTCTCCAGAACCATTTTTCAGGTCAATAGCTGGGAAAATAGGAAGAAACCAATATGTGCCATTTTTTCTTCACAACATGAGAGTAAAATACACCAACTAAAATGCAGACATTTCTATAGTTTCCAAGTGGTTACTTATAGTTAATGTGGTAGTTATTCTATGTTACATATTACCTGTCATTCAGAAAAACTATATAAATCCTTTATTTTTTGAGATGTCCTTTCTACAAAGAAGTTCTTCAAACGTCAAATCAATAATAGATTTTCCTCATTGAAGAAGTTTACAAAACAGAGATACTTTAAATGTGAATCAATGTAGGATGACATATTATAAGGAAGTTGTTGGAGGTTATATGGTTAAGGTCTTTAGGTTCAAATACAGACTCCACAGTCAACAAAGGACGAAAGCTGGATTTTAAAAGAGTTGTATGTTGTTGGGTTGGGAGAAGGGAAGACACACTCTACCCACCTTTCAAATACCTGAATTCATCAAAGGTTCTGTCATATGGATAGCAAGATAGTCAAAACACATTTTAAAAAGATTTTAATTAGTTTGTTATACTTATGATTTATTTATAAAGTTTTTATTGCCATAACTGTTGTAGAACATTAAAATTAGCTTCTTTTTCCTTAACTCTTTTTGACAGTAGGCTTAAGTGCCCCAGAAACAGTCTGGGTAAGTGGGAAAACTACTAAAAATTTACCTTTATTGCTCTCTATCTAACACTTGTAGAGCTGTATGCCAAAGCTACATTTTAGAAAGTTTGAACTGTCTCATACATGACCGAAACCAGTCATCCAGGAAGCCCAATTACACTCATCCAGCTCCAGCCACATAAACGTGCTTTCTCTTGCCACAGTGAAGGAACTACAATTGCATCACTTTCCCTAAGAGTGTGAAGGGAACCCTCAATTTAGGGTCAAGGAAAAGCTACGCGTACATAAGAAAACAACAAGTGCTTAACTACATTCTGCTTAGCCAAGCCCTGCTCCAAAAAGAAAATAAAATCATTCCAACTCTCTTCAAAAGAGAATTTTGCCAACTAAACTAAAAATAACTTGTTGATAATGGTTACCTTGAGGAGGAGAAAGAGTGAGGAGGACCTTTTTACTTTGTATACTTCATTCACTCGCTTCACTGTGAAATTTCTACAATGGGTATCAGACCATGCAAGGTATCAGAAGTGAGGCACGAAGAGCAAAGGCTCTGTTCTTATTGGCACCTACATATTGTGAATGTGTTTCCATGTACTATTGGTACAGTTAAAATGAAAGAAAGGGAGAAAAAGAGAGTGATGGAGGTGGGGGGCAAGAGGAAGGAAAGGAGAGGAGAAGGAAAGAAAAGCAAGCCTCTGGCATTCGGCAGATAACATTCACAGTTTTAACTCTTCACAACTAAGACTAAGACCCACTATATACACTAGTCTTGCTCAGGAATAAAATTGGACCATAAACATCTTAATGCTTGCGTGTGGGAGTAAGTCTCAGGTAATGAAGGTTCTTAGCTGTCCACCTGCCCTCACACTCCCCTGGTGCTGCCTCACGGCCATGACTCTTGTAAGCAGTAAAACCTTTTTTTTTTTTTTAAAGATTTTACTTTTTCCTTTTTCTCCCCAAAGCCCCCTGGTGCATAGGGGGTCCTTCGTTGTGGGTCCTTCTAGTTGTGAGCAGTAAAACTTTTTATTGTGGAAAGCTAATAGCTAGGGCTGATAAAAGAAAAGAAGGCTAACAAAGGGAAGGTTCTTAGCAAGAATACAGAAATTTGGGGTGAAGGAGTGGAAATTCCAGTTCCACAGTGGCTCAAGTCATGCATGCAACATGGCTCCTGTGGGAGAATCATCCACCACCGTCACCTTGAGTTTACAGATGCCTATAAGGTCATGGCTAATCTTGCTAAAATGAAGAAACAGACTGTATGTATTTTCTTTTAGTGGAGATTTCAGAAGCTTTATGAATAACTTTAGCTCTGTTTTTACATAACCATTAAGGCTCTGAAAGAGTTCATAAAAATTTCAGTTATAGTTTACAGCATTTAATGGGGGAGGGAGAGGTGTTCAACAAGAACGTGCATCTGGAAACCTGGGGACCTTTGAAGGTCTTGGGATAAATACCGTACAAATTACAAAAGGCTACCACAGGAGAAAGGAGTTATTTTTATTGCTGCCTCTACCCCTTAAGATTATAAATTCTTTGCTGGAACAAGAACGTCTTGTCTTTGTATCCCCTACACTTCCTTGAATAGAAAGTACTTAGTAACTATTTGTTAAGTGTATGATCAGAAAAGCACATGGAAGAAGCATCTCTATAAAAAAAAATAACAACAAAGAAAAACTTCAGTTAAAAATAAAGGATTTTTTAAAAAATCACACCAAGAAGGACACAATACTTTTGTGCTAGTCCTACCAAAAATTCATAAACTCAGTCTAATAATCATGAAGAAACATTAAGCAAACACAAACTGAAGAAAATTCTACGAAATAACAAGCCTCTACTTTTCAAATATGTTGAGGTCATGAAAAACAAAAACAGACTGAGGCATTCATCCAGATTAAATGAAACTAAAGAGATCTAACAACTAAATGCAATATATGATCCCAAATTGGACCCTGATCAGTTCTTTTTCTTTCTTCATTTCTATTATTGTTATTATTATTATTATGATTACTATTATTATTAGTTTGCTACAAAGGACACTACTGGGACAATGGTACAATATTAATAAGGTCTATATAATAGATAATAATACTATATCAATGTTAATTTCCTGATATTGATAATTGTTCTATGAATAGATAAGAGCAAGACTTTGTTCTTAGGAAATGCTACTAGAGTATTTAGGGATAAAGGGACATTAGGTCTGTAAGTTACTCTCAAGTCCTTCAGAAAAAAAATAATATGTATGATGAAAATAAAATAGTAAAAAGCAAAAATGGAACAAAATGTTAACAATATGGAGAAACTTGGTGAAGGACAGATATAAGTTCTTAGTACTATTCTTGCAACTTTTCTGTAAGCCTGAAATTATTTCAAAATTTAAAAAAATATATGCTATTAAGATGAATCACATGCACAGCAAGATAGGAAGCCGTAACAGTTTTCAGTGGTTTTGTGTGTAAATGCACATGGGCAAGCAGTCAGGGGCTGTCCTGGTAAGAAGGGAAGCAGCCGCTGTTGCTAAGGGAATATAGAGTAACCTGAAGTAGATGACTCTCCAACAAAAAGGCTCCCATCCTTTACCGGACAGCATATTTCTTTCCAAAGGTCATCTTTCAAGTCTTTTCTATAAACACATGAGACTCTCATTTGGATCCCAATTCAAAATTTGGAAACAATACCTTTAAGATTTAGTTTATATCCAAGATGAGAAATCCTAAAGACCGGTTTGACTACTAAAAGATGAGCACCAACCCAGAAGCTACTAGGTTCTAATGATCAAATGGTATCCTCAAGAATGAATGTATCCTGATCTTAAAAGAACGCCAGTTGCCAAATCTGTCTACATTTTCCACATTCTGGCAAAATTCCAAGATCCAAAAGAGATGACCTCTAACATTCAAAGAACATCTTCACCCAATCATTGTGACATAGTGCATAACAGATGCCTGGATTTAATCCAAATATGCAGACTGAGCTCTACAAAATCACAGTATATATTTTTTAAAACCCAACTCACTTCATTACTTAACAAAATTCCAGCAAAATTGGACAGTATTTCTAAAATCTTGCTATATAAATGTAAATTCCAATTATGTTCCTTCAATGGAAAAGATTACAAATATGTGAAAGGAAACCAAAATTCCTTTAGGAAGAAAACAACCAAATTGCTCAGTGCTAACCAGCTTAAACCTATCATCCTAAGGAAAACAAAATATATTTTTTACTCAGCAACATTGTAACACTGTTACATGAAAAAAAATCTGTCTTTGTCAAAAGTTTCAATTGTATGGCTATTTTACCGGATACATTCAAACAAGTAGATTCTTACTTGGAAATATGGGATTATATTTCTGCCTAGAGTTACAATAAATTGCATATTTAAAATCTGTGGGCCAAATTCTAAGATGTTCAACTTTATTTATGGACAAATGGAAATACTGGTGTCATTACTCTACAAACCATGAATAGCAGATAATCTTGGAGGACAATGAAGATTTCTTTCCATTTTCTCCCCGCGTGTCATGAAGCAGAGTAGCAAAGCTAATGCTCTGAGTTCCAACTACTATTTCCATAAATATGGTTTCCAACTGTCTGTCTCTGGCTGTGAACTTACCCCTAAATTCCAGGCTGCAGTTCCCAGAATCCAGTCCAGATCTCGGTCTGCTATAGTTTTGGCACCACAGCGTGTCCTCTTCTGGCCTAAACTTCTCTCCTCTCCCATGTTTTGCATTTCTAGTAATGGAGTCAATATCCTTGGTCACTCACGCCAAAACCTCAGCATTAGTTTTGACTCTCTCTCATTCTTCTTGTTTTATTAACTGTCTTGTTTTTCAGACATCAGTCAATTCTATCTTAGCAATAGATCCAGTAAGGCCCTCTCCTCTCCATTATCACTTTAATTTAGGTCTTCCTTCCCTTTAATCTGCAATGCAACAACTCTTGTATCCTGAACCCCAGGATTTCACACTTTCCTAATACATTGCCTCTAACAGTTATTACCATGGACAAAAAAAGATATCCTGTCTTCATATTTGTAATCTACAACATCACAGAGAACTGGGTACACAGTAAACGTTCAAATTTTTGTTGAATGAACCAGCTTCCCATTCTGTGAAAGCCAATAGCACCTTTTCCACGTCTCTTATCACTTGTGTTCTATCAGAATTACTTATATATATATACACAAGCCCCAATTCCTTATTTGAACTCCCTGAGGCCAGATGTGTTTTGGAATTCAGAATTTTTCAGATTTTAGAAAGGAAATACAGTACATAAAACATGTATTATATATTATGAAAGCCCCTCCAATGGTGCAAAACTCTATAAAAAAATACATGATTTCCATACTCAACTAACCCACGGTAAGTGAGAGA